ATTTCCGCAGGAGCGAAAATACCAGAAGCAGCACAGGTTCTGCAATCTCCAAAGTTCAAAACTTCCCGTTAGCCATCCGAAATCACCCCGAGGCCCTCGGGACCTCAACCAAAAATACAAACATGATACAATACCTTATTCAAACTTGCTCTAATCATTAAAACACCTCAAACAACACTAAAACCATCATTTCTCATCGAATTCAAGCCTAAGTTCTTCTAAAACTTCCGAAACACGCATTCGATCAGAAACCCAACCAAAACACCTCCGAATGACCTGAAATTTTGCACACACATCCAAAATCACCTAACGAAGCTACAGCAACTCTCGGAATCTCATTCCGACCCCCGGATCAAAATCTCACCTACCAACCAGAATTCGCCAAAATACTAACTTCGCCAATTCAAGCCTAATTATACACTGAACCTCCAAAATCAATTCCGATCGCACTCCTAAGTCACAAATCATCCCCCGAAGCTAACCAAATCATCGGAATTCAAATCCGAGCCCTCTAACACAAAAGTCAACATCCGGTTGACTTTTCCAACTTAAGCCTTCTAAAAAGAGACTAAGTGTCTCATTTCTTATCAAAACCATTCCAAACCAACTCTAACACATCAAATACTGATAATGAAACATGAAGAAGCATAACATAGGGGAAACGGGGCGGTAACTCATGTGACGACGGGTCGGGTCATCACAAGGGTTGACCATCTCTCCATTCTCCCTTATCCCTCCCATTTGGACAGAATTTCTTCTCATCGAAGGAACTAGAATCATCGCCTTGTTGCCCACTGTTGGGTCATGTGGAGGACGGATATCCATCGAGCACTTGTATAGGGCTAACGGACAACTGAGCACATGCCTCTTCTCGTGCCTCTCCGTGAAGAGAAATTTTTTTATTCCGTATAGGCTTGAGATTTCTAGGGTTGGCCTTAAGTGTAGGTTTAGAGGGACATCCTCCTCCTCCATTTCTACCTCCACTGGACCTGGTATTGGGTCGACTTATTGTTGATGTGGGGGCACTGGAGGGGGTGGAGGGGGGGCTGACATCTCTTGGTTCCCCTAGTTGGTGTCCCAAGGGAGAAGATGGGATTGAGATGAGTGTACATCTCTGTTGGAAAGAAGGGAAGATCCAACGGGGCATTTTGAGGGTTTATGGGGTTGAACTATGGAGGCATGCTCCAATGTTCCCTCATTACATGAGCCATTTGAGGGTTCATTGATGGAGTCATCAGATGAATAATATTGTTGAGCCATACTTGATTGAGGTAGTTGTTCATGGCCAATCTCATTCCCTCCGTAATGAGTTGCGCTAGATATTGGGTGTTGTAGAGGATCACAATAGCCTCTTAGCCACTGATTGGGACTGTGAAGGATATTGCATGGCCCATGAGGCCTAGCTCCATCCAACTGGAGAGTTGGTAGTCTTGGGGTTGAGGTGGTTGTGCATAAATTATCTGGGGTTGTTCTTGAGGATGGGGGGGGGGGGAGATTTTCCATGTTGAGAGGTCTGTGTTGTCGTAGGATTTGAATGAGGCGATTCCTTCTTCTTAGGGATGAAGAAACTCTTGGCATTTTGGGTAAGGTGTGAAGTATTTAATGCACTGGTAGTAGGCGTGGGATTTTGGGTAGAAGAAAGGGCTAGTCGATTAGTGGAAGAACCAATGATTGTTTCTTTCAAGTTTGTGTCTTTTGGGTGCTCTATGTCTTGATTTATAGGACACTTAATTGCTTCTATTAGGTTATCTAAAGGTGTGTCCATTTGGCTACCCTTTACTGCTTCCGTTGCCATTTGGCAAACATGCATGGTGGAAGTAATCTTGCCATATCTTAAGGAAAGATCTTTTTGAGATCCTTTAGATAACACAATATTTTGGGTAGATTTTTGTTTAAGGGGTGGGTCTAGGGCAGTAGGGATAGGGTTAATGGGAGGGTTAGAAGTGTCCATTGTAGAGCCATTTTGCATGGCATCGATAGCATCTAATTGGTTAGCATCATTTGGTGCCACGGCGGATTCACTCATACAAGTGTCGATGCCCTCTAATGCCAAGTCATCAGTTAAATGAGAAAAATTATTTTTGCTAAGAAAATTAGTATTAGCCATAGTGGTTTTTGGCAAAACCATTTGCTTTTTATCTATGTAGTGGTTTTTGTGTAGAGAATTATTTTGTTCCTTCGCATTGATAGGCTGGATAGTAGCTTTTGAGGTTTGATTAGGGGAATGATGATCTTTAGATTTATATTGAAGCAGTTGAGTGTCCAAGTATTTACACGTATTAGCATTAAAGAGTTTAACCGAAATACCTAGACCATGGCTGCTTTTATCTTGGTTGATGGTAGGTTGGGGAGGAGGTTTTCTACCTTGATTTTTCTTTTTGTTGAATGAAACACTAATCCATTCCCCTTCATTCTCTCCATTTGTAGCCATTGGTTGATGAGCTTGCCCTGCATGGAGAGGATTAGTGCTTTTTTTTGTTTTTATGTAATTGCACTGCCTCATTGTGTGACCAAAACGACCATAAGTTTTGCAAAGAAAGTCTTCCCCTTCATAGTGAATATATTGCTTATGTTGTCCAACAAAAAGGTAGGGTTGGACTGGGATTTTCACAAGAATTTCGACACATATCCTTGCATATCGACCTCTTAGGGTAGTTGATGTGCATGTGTCAATTTTTAGTAGACGTCCTATTGCATTGCCAATTTTTTCTAGGATTTTACCATCATAAAGCTCTGTTGGCAATTGGGGAAGCCTAATCCATACAGCTGAGGTAGTTAATTTTTTATTTTTGGCCACAAAATTTGGTTTCCATCTGGAGATGGACAGGAAATGGCCATTTATAAACCATAGACCTAAGTGGATAGCCTTGTCCATGTTTTCCTTCTTCTTGAATTTGATAATATAATTGTCTTCTCCAAGATCAATGAGAGAGAAGTCTTCCGTTGGATTCCATAGATCTTGAATTTTCCTTTTTAAATAATGATGTTGCATACGCTTTCTTACTAATTTGATTATGATAGAAAATTTCCACGGTTCATAGATACGTTGTCTATCTTCCGTTGAAAGGGAGATTTTTATGACACCTTCCTTTTTACTTCTGGATCATGCTCAACCTCCTTCTCATCCGTTGAGTTGGTGGTGTAGAGCATTTCATCTTGTTATATTATAGGAGCAAAATCCATTGGGTTAGATTCCAACAATTTATCCTTGAAGGATATTGGATTTTCCAAAACATCTTTTGGTGGGTTTTGATGGATTATATCGGGTGATTTTTGGGGATAGTGGTTTGACTTTCAAAAGGTTGGGAGTTCATCCTAAAGAGAAAGAGAGACAATCTTTTTTGGTTTGTTACTTGGCTCTCTCTCTCAAGCCTAGTATTTGATGAGAGAAGTAACACATTTTACTAGGCTTATTTCATATACTCCAATATTAATATCTATGGGTTGTACTGCTATTAACCAACTTTAATATTAATATATAAATATTTTAACTTCCTCAAAAAATGATATATACTCTTGTGGTTTATACACATCAATAGATTATAAATAAATGTACTTGTAAACTAACTTAAGTTCAAAAGAAATAACTAAATTGAAGGACACACTTTCAACTCAATCGTAGAATCAGTGAGAAGACGATCCTAAATATTTATATAGTTTCAAACCACCAAAATGAAACAAATCAAAATGTAGCTGATGGCATTTTTGGGCAGCAGTTTAAACCATTAGGTTTTGAGGTTATAAGTCTTGTAAAGTTGACTATTAGTAATTTATTGTAATAAAGGATAAAATACAATAGTGGTTTAAAATTTAAAATAATGCTATAAAATTTGTTAACATTATCACTATTAATTGAAATGAGACGATTTGAATAAAGTAATAGTCAATGATGATTCATGTATAACTGAAATCGTGGTTGTAATAGTTGTTGTTTGTCTTCGTTAATTGAGTTAAATCAAAAATTATACTTGGTTGGTAATAGTATACATGCAATGCAAAAAACCACAAGTGAAAAAAAATGGGTGAAAATCATTTACCTTCCCCAATATTATGTTAAAAATCAAATTCCCCCATCAACTTTGAACAATAATCATTCTCCCCCCTTTATCCTACACAATACCTTTTTTGCCCTTGAATTTTCAATTTCCTCCTCAATTCAATATTTTTTTATTATATAATTTTTTTTTTATGATTTTAGCTATAACTTAAATTATGTAATACCTATTATAGATTATAATTAGAGTTCATTAAAATTATAAGTAGAATAAGTAATTAGAGTCGATCAATTAAAATTACCTTATCTTTATGATTGTTATTTTAATGTAATGCATATTAAATATATATTTAAGCTATATTTTTTTAGCGACGGAGCTAGAAATTCATATAAGAGGATTGAAAAATACCCCATTTTTTAAAGTTATTTCGAATTGAACTTAGGAGCTACGATAATTTGGGATGTTTTTCAATCCTCTTATATGAAAAACAGCCCAAGTTATCTTAGCTCACAAGTTCAATCCGAGATTAAAAAAAATTGGGGTCCCTCTTGTATGAATTTCTAGCTTCGTCGCTAAGAAAATATAACTTAAATATATATTTAATATGCATTATATTAAAATAACAATCATAAAGATAAGGTAATTTTAATTGACTCTGATTACTTATTCTACTTATAATTTTAATGAACTCTAATTACAACTTATACTAAATTTTACATAATTTAAGTTATAGCTAAAATCATAAAAAAAATATTGAATTGAGGAGGAAATTGAAAATTCAAATGGTAAAAAAAGTATTGTGTAGGATAAAGGGGGAGAATGATTATTGTTCAAAGTTGAGGGAGGAGTTTGATTTTTAACACAAAGTTGAGGAGGGTAAATAATTTTCGCCCGGAAAAAGATTGATCAACACAAAATACGAACAAAAAGGGGAAAAAAAAATTAACAAAAAGGCAAAAAGGTATTTAGTGACCCGCAACCCCAACCCGACCCAGTTACGTAATACCCTAAACCCTGCATCCACTTTTTCCTTCTTCACTCTCCACACCATTTTTGTTTGAAACCAAATGAAATGAAGTTCCATTAGTTCAAAGAGGAGAAAAAGCAGATCAAAATGAGTAGCAGAACGACGACGTTTTGGGTTCGACTACTCCGCAATCAACTGCGGTTCGTTTCATCATCTTCCGCCGCCGGCGCAGGAAATCAACCACTTTTCCGGCATCCACAGCCGCCTCCGCATTCCGTACGTTCATTCTCCTCCGCATCATACCGAACACCGCAGGCGGATAGGGTAATCAGAGAGCTATTCCTCGACGTCGAAAGGGACAAGCAAAGGGAAAGGGAAGAGAGAAAGAAGAAAGGATTAGATACAGCGGATATTGATGCTGAGGAAAATGAGGATTTCATGGGCGTGGGCCCACTAATTGAGAAGCTCGAGAAGAAGAAGCTTAAGGAAGAAAAATTTAGCTATTTTGATGAGCCTACGGATTCGGATTCTGATGATGATGATGAACGGTGGACTGCTGAGGCTATTAATAAACGATGGGATACTTTTGAAAAAAAGTTTAAGCGACATGAAGAGCTCCTTAAGAACTTCACTGATGCAGGTATGATGATTTAATTTTCATCTATGCCATTTTGAGACAATTAATAGTTAGGATTTAAGTTATATATACCGGCACTATAATATTTGTTTTAGACCACATGTGTAATTTAATCCATTATGATATGTTATTGAGACATTACTGGTTAGGATTTAAATTATATACACCAATGCTTCAATTTTTGTATGCCATATGGGTAATTTAACGTGTTATAATAGGTTATTGAAACATCAATAGCTTGGGTCTAAGTTATATACACTGACATTGTAATATGTTTTACACCGCCGCTGTACCTTTAATGTGTTATAACAAGTTACTTACAAATTTTTCTCGGTTATTAATGAATGCTATTAAATAGAGTTACATGCATATGGTTATCAAAAAAATAGAGTGACATGCAATTACTTTTTAATTACCTTTTAGTGAACTGATTGTGTAAATATTTCTAGAACTCAAGTATTATAGTAAGATGAAGAGGTTTTCGATTTTGAGTAAACGGAAAAAATGATCTTTTTTGCAGTAAAGTGGCATTTTCCTAGAGGTTAAATGTGTATTTGCTTATGACTTCTCTCATAAGGAAATGGCGGAGGAGAGAAGAGGAAAATAGTGTTAGTTTTATTAACACAAAGAAAGCTTGATAATTGGTGGGATTAGAAGTTACACTCAGGTTTTATGTTGTTTATAGGATGGACGTGAACAATACGACCAAAAATGTCAGTTCATTAGTGTAAATGTGATGCTGGGTAAGTTTTACTTGGGGGTTAGGTTGGAATATGTATGAGAAAATAATCACATATTGTTAGACTTATGTTTGTCTGTGCATATATATGTGAAAGTCAACTATGTGAAAGGACTTGCAAAACAAATTGATAGCATTTTGTTGTTGAATTGGAATTGACAAATTACGGAAGTTTTGACCAGAGACTCTTGATGATGCATTCAAGTGGATGAATAGAATTGACAAGTTTGAGCAAAAGCATTTCCAGTTGAGACCAGAGTATCGTGTGATTGGTGAACTGATGAACCGCCTTAAAGTGGCTGAGGGTAAGGAAAGATTTCTTTTGCAGCAGAAGATAAATAGGGCCATGCGAATGGTGCAGTGGAAGGAAGCTTATGATCCCAATGACCCAGAGAATTATGGAATCATTCAACATGAGCAGGTGGGACCAAATGTAGATCTTTTAGAACATGCTGGGTTTGAAAAGGAAAAGGAGATGATTCAAGGAGGAGATGACGACGATGACATAGAGTTTGATGACATGAAAGAGAAGGATGATATATTGTTAGAGAAGCTCAATGCCATTGATAGGAAACTTGAAGAGAAATTGGCTGAATTGGACCACACCTTTGGGAAAAGGGGTAAGCTCTTAGAAGAGGAAATCAGAGATCTTGCTGAAGAAAGGAACTCGTTGACAGAGAAGAAAAGAAGACCTCTGTACAGAAAAGTAAGTGCCAAGTCTTATGCTGGTTATAATATGAAAGCATTGGTTTTAACTTTCTTGCAAATGAGACTTAACTTTCGGGAAAGTCGTTTTAGTTGGAAAACGTTTATCCTGCAAAATTTCTGGCAATAAAATGAAGTAAAATCACAAGAAGCATGTTGATGGTACCAAATACTTCGAGGCCAGACTCACACATGCACTATGTTCATGTGTCTAATATTTTGGTTCGTAGCATATGGAAGGGAATAGGGATAGCTTTTAACTAATCACTTTTCTTATATCACTTCAGCTTCTTGATTTAATTCCCTGTATGGCTTCCTTGAAATGATTGTGGTGTTAGGAAAATTAACTGTGTTGGTTCTCCAAAAGCAAACATTTGGTTGTGTTCTTCATACTGTTAGAGGAACAGAGTAATAATCGATTTTATTTTGATAGAAGTTATCTGGCAAGTAATGAAATTTTCCTAAGCTGTATGGCAAGAATGAGAATCTTATTAATTAAAGGTCAGATTCCAATCTGCTGGCCGGAAAGTAGAAGCATGATATATATATATCTTTTTTTTGTTTTGTTTTTTAGTGCCCATGCAGTGGACAAAAACTTCTATGTCCAGTAGATTGGTCTGTAGCTGAAAACTCTCCCCTCTTTTTGTTTGGGGGAAGTAGGTGCGTGTTGCCCCTCTTTCCGTGTTAGTTTATGGTAGGAGTACTTTTCGTTGAGACGCTGCTAAATAGCGCATTTTGACATTCTTTTTTCTGATAAACTATCCGTACCAAAAAATCAAGAAATAGAATAAGGAAGAGTGGATGTTGACACGAAATGGACTAATCAATTCTCATTCTTGGCTGGTGCTCTCAATAACCTTTCATTTTGAGAAAGGAAAACTAGGTGATTCCAAAACACTTCATCTAGTTTGGTTGCCTTTAAGAGTTCTCTTACCAAACAAAATGGGCAGTATACATTTAGTTGTCTGATAAGAGGGACCATCCGAGAAGCCTCCGGCAAATTGCAAATTCAACAAGTAATCGTTATTGAAGTAGCTCATCCGAGAGTTACTCTCGGTTAAGTCCAAGTAATGAGAGCTTGTTATATATGCTACTCCCTCCATTCCAGTTTATGTGAACCTATTTCCTTTTTAGTCCGTTCCAAAAAGAATGACCCCTTTCTAAATTTGGAAACAATTTAGCTTAAACTTCCAATTCTACTCTTAATGAGAAGCTTTTATAACCACACAAATTCTCTGGACCCCTGTTTGACTTGTTTAGGACCACATATTCCAAAAATCATCATTTTTTCTTAAACTTCGTGTCCAGTCAAACAGGTTCACATAAATTGGAACGGAGGGAGTAGTATCTTCGGTATTCCTAAGACCCTCAAGTGAAATGTGAAGTGGGAACCCTGTTTCCACATTTGCATATATTTGTTTCTATGTTGAGAACTCTTATTAGTTCCTCAAGAGCGTTACATTAACAAATCACTCTCTGATGTTATGTCTATGATTCTTATGGGTATATATTCTAAGTTATTTCGTAAAATCTGTGTTTCACGGAATTGGACGCGATCATTCTTTCATTTTCACTTATTATTTCTTGACAATGGCAGGGTTTTGATGTGAAACTCATTGATGTCAATAGGACATGTAAGGTTACTAAGGTAATGCGGCTATTCCAATGGATTTCTCATTCTTTTTTAATGGACCTTGAATAAACAATTTCACAAATTATGGCTGAAATGTGATACAGGGGGGACAAGTTGTCAAGTATACTGCTTTGTTGGCTTGTGGGAACTATCACGGAGTTGTTGGTTTCGCAAAAGCAAAAGGTCCAGCTATTCCCATTGCCCTGCAAAAGGTACAGGAGTCTGTTTATTATTTGACCATTCCAATTTAAAGCATGTTTTCATTTTAATCAATGCCTTGGACTGGATGATTGGTCTTTCAGCAACTCTTCTAAGACAAGACTTTTGTTTTTAAAATGAATTGTGCAGGCATATGAGAAATGCTTTCAGAACCTACATTATGTCGAACGGCATGAGGAGCATACAATTTCGCATGCAGTTCAAACAAACTACAAAAAGACCAAGGTGCCAACTATTTGGAGTGTGAATTTTAGTCTTCCTTTTGTTAAGTTTTTGTTTGCTCATACACGTAGGAAATGCATCGTGACTTTCTCTTTATGCATACCTAAAAAAGAAGGAGTCTTAGTTTTCTGTTTATAAAGGGTAAAGTTTCTCTATTTTTCATTTTTTGACTCTTTGGTCTTGAACCTTTGCTTACTTGCACCTCAATGCAGGTATATCTGTGGCCCGCTCCTACTCAAACAGGGATGAAAGCAGGTAGAACCGTCCAAACAATTTTGCATTTAGCCGGTTTCAGGAATGTAAAATCAAAGGTATTGTATTATAATTCTTATCAAGCAGTTCACATAATATTGAAATTTGGTATTTATTCCGTGCCCATCATTGTAACATCATACTCCGGCAGGTTGTTGGCTCAAGGAACCCACATAACACAGTTAAGGCTCTTTTCAAAGCTCTAAATGCGGTAAGTCAAATGTTCTGCTTATGTTCTGATGCTACTCTCTACTCTGCCCCATTTTTTTGTTTTCTAACTTTGACTTCTTCCTGATTATTTTTGGATTAGATTGAGACACCCAAGGATGTTGAAGAAAAGTTTGGGCGAACTGTCGTCGAGTCATACTTATTGTAATAGGCACATTTTTTGTTATAGCAGGTAAGAACTTGAAGTTCTGTTAGTCTCCTGTGGTTGTCATATTTTTCCATTCGTCCTTTGTCCTGCCGCTATCCACACATTAGATTCTTCTTAGATTCATCATAGTACTTGGTGGAAAATGGTTATGTAAATTTATAAATTTGTTCAATGATATAAGTGTATCTGATCTTTGATATATCCAATAGTCTGGCATTTGAAGTTTGAACTTTTCTTCTTTGAGGTTTTGGACTAATTAGCTGTTTCTCTTGTTTTGGCAGAGCATGAGCAAAGGAGAGATCAAAAGCATGGAGGCATCAATGGATTGCCCGTCTTTTTCATAAGCTAGTTACCTTATTTCTGTTACCTTTCCTTTTGGTGGAATTTGTTCTTGGTTTTTTTGGTTGTTGTAGTTGCAAATTAGATGATGATTGCTAGTAGAGCATAGTAGAATCTCTTTTCCAGTTCCAGTCTCGACTACTTCACAAGATTGAATGGCCAATTCTCCTCAGAATCCTCGATTTGATTGTTCTCCAAGAATGTTCAGCGGGGTATATAGGTAGTGACTAGTGAAGTAACAGTTGAAGATACTACGTTTATGCAGCCCATTGTACTATCGAGTTGTTCATTTTTGGAGGGATTATGCCTTGTGCTATGTTCTTGATTTGGTCGAAGGATGAACAATTAAAGTTTGAAAACTAAATAAAACCATTTTTCAATGATTTCCTGTATGTCGCCTGTAATGGTACTGGATTAGGTTCGTTAGTATTCCACGTCCAGGTAATACCTTGGGGGGGGGGGGGGGCGGCGATTTTATTAGGTTCAAATCATAGTAGAGGCAAAGATTATTAGGTTCAAATCATAGTAGAGGCAAAGAATACAAAAGAATATTGAAGATGTAAAGGTATCCAATAAATTAGTTGAGATAAAGATATATTGTTCGCTGTGATATTGAAATCAAGATTTTACCTGTTGAATTTTGAGTAAAAGAGGGGTCACCCATCCTAGTATCATTCTAATCAAAGCACGCTTTACTTTGAACTACTGGTAAGATATAGCGCATTAGTGCTAGTATGATTGCATTTGTCATTTTTGCGGTTATTTGTCCCATTCCAAAGGTTATAGGGTATTGCTTCTCAACTATTAAAGGTTGGAGTTTGTTGATATTTATTCGTAATATTGCGTATATATAACGTCAAACAAAATAGTCTGTATATGATACCACATAATCTAAAAGATTATGCAAGTTAAAAATTCATTCATAATGTAAAAGATTTTATATTACTCATATATATTTAAAATTCAAATCCTATGAGTTTAATATTTAATTTTTTTTAGTATTGAATACGTTATATTATAAAGTTATAAATTCATATATATATNATATATATATATATATATATATATATTATTTGTTATAATTTAGTAGGAGTAGAAATTTTTGCACAAATTTATACTTGCCATCGAAATAACCCAGTACCATTATAATTTAAATCGTTGCAATGTACTATGTAGATTGGAAAGAAAAGAAAAGGAAAAACAAAAAAGAAAAGGTTCAGTTGAGAGTTGACACACTCCGCCGTATTCTCTTCACTTCCACTATTTCACAGTTCACTTCCATTTTCGTTCAGTTTAAAGTTCTGAAAAATCATTTTAGAAGTAAACTCCATAATAGAAATGGAAACAAATTCAAGAAAACTAATGGGTTTAGAGAAGAAGAAGAAAATAGAGGAAGAATGGAACTCCATTTACAGCTCTAAGCATCAACTCTCTCGTGCTGACTTCCCTCCCCAATTCATATTCGGTGTTGCCACTTCTGCTTACCAGGTTTCTTCTATTTCACCGCTCCTCTCATTTTTCTCGGTCCGTTTCATTTTATATGATGCACTTTGATTGTAAAGAGAGTTTAATAAAGAAAGAAAAACTTTTGAACTTTGTGATCTAAAATAAATGGTAGATACTTGTATGGCTATAGATCATAGTATTATTTAGTAGAGGCGGAGCTAAGATTTGAATTTTATATTTGGGATCTTTTCACAAATAGCCGGCCAGATTCATTGTTTACATTTTGTTGCCGGTATATACAGATTATACACTAACTATACACGCATATACACATATTATACATCTGCAGGCTATTTTTTGTTTAAGCGGTTGGATGAGCGGCTAATTAGGATAGTTCTTCTTCTATGTTTCTAAATTAGAGGATAATGGTATCAAGTGTTAGTAGTTAGTTTCTGAAACTAATTTTTGTTCATATTGATTGAGTTCTTAATAAAAACACAAGGTTTGGACTAAAGCTACCAAGTTTTGCCGAATCTAGCTTGTCATTAACGGTAAAATGAAAAATTTAAATTAATTATTTCTAAATACAGAAATGTATCATTTTTTGAAACAGACCAAAAATAAAAGTGCATCACATAAATTGGGACACAAATAGTATTATTTTCTTCTCTATCTCCCATTTTATAATGAGTTATTATTTGAATTTTGGTAAATGGTGAAAAGGTTGAAGGTGGAAGTAAAGAGGGAGGAAGGGGACCTAGCATATGGGATTCGTTTTCACATACTCAGGGTGAATCGTCAACTCTCTCTGTTCTCTTTTAATCTTTTTTGTTTTTGTTTTTTGAAGTTCTGTTTTGGTTAGGCAAAATATGTGATGGAAGCAGTGGGGATATGGCTGTTGATCAGTTTCATCGCTACAAGGTAGATTTCTCCCTTTTTTATTTATATTTTTTTGTCAATTTTCTTTTTGAGCAAAAAGAAAATTGATTTGGCATTGGGTTTAGAATAATTTTTTAAGGGAAGATAGGTATTATTTTTTTGGACTTTATGTTTGGTTTGTAGGTGGTGTTAAAGCGATATATGCTTTGTGTTTTATGAGTCTTTTGTCAATATACTTCACTTTTGTTGTCTTATTATTCATGGTGGATTTCTTTCTTTCTGGGTTTAACTTGTTCTTTTAAATACAGGAAGATATTGAGTTGATAGCCAAGTTGGGCTTCAAGGCTTATCGTTTTTCAATATCATGGAGTCGCATCTATCCTGGTATGAAGTTTTTCCTTTGTTAATTCTTTTTGTCTCTTTCATTCACATAGACCACCTCCATAATCTCTGTTAAAAGTAAACACGACTTTCTTGTGCAATATAAGAAAACATTATTGCTGGGAAGCTGCTTTCCCCTTCTCCAATTTACGATGTGGATTTTGTAAGAAAAAGCTTTCATTTTTAAAGTTATAAGTATCTGAAATCGTATAAAAAGGAAATAGGAACTGTTAAATCAGGAAGGTTTTCTAGAACAAGTGATGAATTGCTTCAAAAAGATTTGATTTGTATGGATGTCAAACAAATGTGAGGGTATTCCTTTTGTGATCAAGCAACTTATAGTCATGTGCGGATTTGAAGTTATGCTTTCAGGCTTTAGTTTGTTCTGTGGCTGAAAATATCTGGCAAAAATTAAAACTAGGTTAGTGTCTAAAAGCAAAGAGCTCGGGAATGAGTTGAAGAAGCTGGTTCTAAACGCTTTAAGAAATGCATATGTATAACAAAGCAAAGAGCTCGGGAATGAGTAAGAAGCTGGTTCTACATGCTTTAAGAAATGCATACAACAACAACAACAAACCCAGTAGTTTCCCACAAGAGGGTTCTACATGCTTTAAGAAATGCATATGCATAAAAAAGATGGATGCATAAGAAATGTGCTTTTAGTTGATGATGTCGATGGAGAACAATGTCTAGATGATAAACCCTGAAAAGTCTTCATTATATTTGAAGGTTAGGACTTACATATGCATAACATGAGAAGGATAAGAAAGAAAAGGCAAAGAATCTGAAGGAATAACTTCCAGTGTGCCACATGAATCAAAAACATATTAGGCTGCAGTAATGCTCTTATTTTGGATAAGAAATAGCACCAAGAATATGCTGATGTAAGCGAAAATGCATGTAGTTTAATAATGTAAAGAACTACTGAAGTCCCTAAGGACTAGAGGAGTTGTTCCTGCCTAAAAGGAGTTCTAAGATAACTTAGCAGTACAACTCAAAAAGCATATTTTCCACAAAGAAGATGTTGGTCTGTAGCTCATTCCCTGAACTGTTCTCTTCAAACTAAGATTGTTCCATTTTAAACAAAGATTGAAAAGTGTGAAAAGAGTTTTCATGAAAATTTGTCAGTAATTGCAGTTATGCTTGATATCTTGTGAGACCTTTGTTCTCTCTAGTTGTAAATTATAAGGTTCCGACCTTGCATTTTCTAATTGTTAAACCATTTCTTGGGGAATTATGTAGTGGAATATCTGTGTTATGAGCTGACAAATTTTACCTACACTTATTATAGCATGGGGCTTCAGTTGTGCTAGATATCGTGCGAGTTAGTGCATTCTGATTTCATGCTTAATATGTGTTATCCCATTTTTCAGTTAGCTTCAATAACTTCTGCAGCCAATTTATCATACCTACATTTAGTCAATACATGATTTTTATGCCTGGCGGCTACTCAGATCTTATGTTTAGATATCTATATACTTAGCCACTGCAATATCTTACAGATTTTTGATAAGGTCTTCTCCACCTATGTAGATGGTTTGGGGATCAAAATCAACCATGAAGGCATAAAGTACTACAATGCTATTATTGATGCACTTCTTGAGAGGGGTAAGATGTTATTGCTCCCCATCTTTAATATCAAGAATATTATTCTTTATATTAAAGCAAATAATACTTAGCCTTTGGTTTTACGTATAAAAATCTACCAGCTTCTTCTACTCTGTAAACATAAAGATGAAGTGAAGGTTTTTATACTGATTAATCATTTCCTTGTTTTGTCCTTTAATGATGAATTTCTGCCTTGTCTTTCCAGGCATTGAGCCTTACATAACGTTGTACCATTGGGATCTTCCTTTGAATCTTCAGGAATCTTGTGGTGGCTGGTTAGATGAACAAACTGTGTAAGCTCCAGTCCTTTGATTTTCCTCTGGTAATCAACACGTTGCGAATTTTTTTGATGCTTATAACGGAGTGGGTGGTGCATATGGAGTTCGAAGTCTATATCATAAACTCTTTCAACATGATTTTTGCTATTATTAGATCCGATGGAACTCTGATGTCTCTGGTTGCTGAAAATGCTGTAAAACAAATGTATGGTAGTTCCATTTTAAATCAAGTTCCATATGAAGTGTACCATTCATGGGTTCTCTAAATCTCATTGAACACTTTTGGTTTAATTGATCTATGTTAGTCATAGGTTTCTGAAGGGATATTATATGAGGATCTGCCGCTTCCAATCAGTTCCTGATTGATGTGATTATGATTGTAATGTTATTCTCAGTGAACGTCTATGAACCTGTGTTGACACAAGAAACCATGCACCTTATTCTTTTTTTTAGAATGTCTGTGGAGTTTTATTTATATCTCCTGCTTATGATTTTCTGCCCTTACCTAAACACTTGAAGTTAGCTAGTCATTCTTTTAAATGTTTAATTACCTTTTTTGAAGAAGGCAGGCCTTTTCCTTTTCATTTAAGCTGCTATTAAAGTTTGTTTATCCACGTTTCTTGTGGAATAATTTGTTGACAGTCACCTCCTAACAATTAACTTGGCTTTTCGTGGCAAATCTAGAAAATATTTTGCCATCTATGCAGAGGCTTGCTTTGCTAGCTTTGGCAATAGAGTGAAGAAGTGGATTACAATTAATGAACCTCTTCAGACAGCTGTGAATGGATATTGTACTGGTATACATGCCCCCGGAAGAAGTGAAAGTTCTTCTACTGAACCATTCTTGGTAGCACATAATCAGCTGTTGGCACATGCAGAAGCTGTTTCTATATACAGAAATAAATTTAAGGTAGCTCTTATTGTTTGAGAGTTTTCTCTATCTCACAGATAGATAGGCTTAGGTGTTGTAACTAAAGTTTCTGTGATTACTTATATTATTCTTTCATGACTTAAGCTTCCAAAGAAGCTGGGGATGGCAATTTTCTCCTTTGCAATTGGTGATGATATTGATGGGCATAATATTTACAGGATGAGCAAGGAGGGGAAATAGGCTTGGTTGTGGATTGTGAATGGCCTGAGCCTTTATCAGATAATTTGGAAGACAAAGCTGCTGCAACAAGACGCCTTGATTTTCAGCTTGGATGGTACCTATTGTTATATCAGTGCTGTGGTCAGCAAGTTTATATTATAAAGGGTAGCTTAAAGCGGAAAGACCCAACACTCCAGTCAGTCATAAAAACTGTACCTCAGTGATTTTCCAGATATATGATAGAATAGGTAGTACATATTGGCTGAAGACAGAAACCTGTAGTATCATCAACATAAAAGCTATTGTCTGTTGCATATGGAACTAACCACTAATGACTTGGTTAACAGTATTTATTTCGTGAAGGAAGTCCATGTTAATAATTAACTAAGATTGATTGCAAAGATAGAATGTATTTAAGTCCTTATCTATCATCTCAAGTCGTGCAGTTGAAAGCATAACATATCTCACAAACTTACCAAGAAAATTACCCAAATAAAAGGATTAACATATTTCACTTAAACTGAAAATTTTGATCAAGAGCTACATTAATCCATCTAACATCAAGTTTATTACCCCTGGTTAGCAGTCTCTCCTCTCTCTCCCGCAATGTTCATTCCGCACCAAAAGGACAAAAATGTCACACACCAATATTCACATAAATAACATCTAGTGCTCAGATTAAAGCCCCTCTTCCGCAAGTCGTCTTGTGTAAGGCAAGTCTCCTAACTCATAAGTTGCTGTCCGAACAAAACATGCCACTTCTTGGCGAGGTTTGTTTTTATAAAGTGCTTCAAGACACTGCCTGGTTTCTGTCGTTATCTGATTAAGAATCTCATAGCATGAACTGACTGAAAACTTCTTTTTCTGACTTTCCCATTAGAGTATACTGCTCTGTAGTGAATCCCTGAACTCCTTTATCTTACATGAAAATTGATTTACCTGTTCCACCTCCCAGTCCTGGAAGAACCTTAGATTGCATTCATTTTCATGTCGACATTCTGCTATTGTTACTTTCTTGCTGTGATTGCATTACTATACAGATTTCAAACCTAGTTTTTAAGTGATGCCTCTTCCAACCAACAATCCGACAAATAACTTTGTCTTTCTGTACTGTCACCCAATTGAAGGAAGTTACAACTCTTGTGCACCACTCACAGATTCAAGCATTGAATAACTCTTGTCCTGATTAGCAGTCTATGACAACAACAACAAACCCAATGTAATCCCACAAGTGGGGTCTGGGGAGGGTAGTGTGTATGCTACCTTACCTCTACCTTGTACAAGTAGAGAGGCTATTTCTGATAGATCCTCGGCTCGAAGCAAGCATGCAAAATCACAAGTCACAACAATATAGAGAAGAAAAACAGTATCGTAAAAGTTGATTAGCAGTCTATGGTGCACTAAAAATAATTACTCCATTTAATTTAAGAGGAACGAGGAAATAAAACTTGACTGAAAGGAATGTATCTTTCTCCGTTCTCTCTTTCCAAATGAAAGGTTGAAAATGAGTCATTTCATTAGTCAATTTATCATCATTTTTGTGAATCACGTAGTGTGGGAGATTAATATTTTGGCTTGAAATCCATGAAATTCTGGACCTTGTCATCAACGCATTAGGAGTAAATGTCACATTCACTATCTTTGCTGTGAGTTATTACTATGTTCGAGTCAGAATTTCTTTGAAATACCTTCATAAAAAATGACATGAAACTTTGCCTTCTTGAGCTAGACTTTGTACTTTAGATTCTAACTTTCTATGTTACAACAACTACGCCTCAGTCCCAAGCAAGTTGGGGTCGGCTATATGAATCCTCTCCGACCATGTCACTCCATTTAAACTCATTTCAGACCAATATTGAATAAAATATAAATAAACATAAAAAGTACTAGAAGTTCTTTGTATCGTCTAACTTTTTATGTATCTTTCTGAAAATCTTGTATGCATTATCTTCGAAAGCATGTTCATAATGAAATAAGGTATCAACTCTCAGCTTATTCTTTTATGTTTGGGGAGTCATTTGGACTTTGGAGGGGTATATCAGGCGGAAGCTGTACCAGATAAAAGGAATTTTTCGTTGTTTACTTCTATTTTTTTGTGATCTCTAAACAAACAATTCTAATAGGTACCTGGATCCTATATTCTTTGGAGATTATCCTGAAAGCATGCGTGAAAGACTTGGAGATTGGCTTCCAAAATTTTCACAGCAAGAAAAGGATTTGCTTAAACATTCATTGGACTTCATTGGTCTGAACCACTATACTTCAAGATTTGTTGGTCATGCGGCAAGTAATTTTGAAGAGAATGACTTCTATAAAATACAGGATGTGGATATAATTGGTATGTGAGACTTAACAACTTTTGCCCCTTATTAGTGTTTCTTGTCCATAAACATACGAGCATTTCCTTAAGTTGACTCGTTTTAATTTTTCTTTTCTTATCTTTCTGTTTCTTTCTCTGTTTTGTCATAGCTGAATGGGAAGGAGGAGAGGTGATCGGTGAGAAAGTATGGGTGATCTTTTTTTTCCAATTCCTTGGATATATATATATCGGACATCATATACTGAAATGTGAATTTTTTTGCAGGCGGCATCTTCATGGCTTTACATTGTTCCTTGGGGAATTCGGAAAGTTCTTAATTATATTGCAGAGAGATATGGCAATCCACCAGTCTATATCACTGAGAACGGTAATGCTGCTGCTTTTCACCCATCGAGATGAGGTTCTTGAAAGGGTGTAGTATATAGGTTTTCGTTGGTGTTGTCCAACTTGTTTAGCTTAATACAACTACTCGCTCTCTCTCTCTATCTATATATATGTATGGGTGTGTGTGTTACTCTATCCCAAAAATATTACTATTGTTTAAGCTTTTTCATACAATATTAGAACACGAAATATTTCATGTTTATACTAGTATTGACGTTATATAATAAAAATGTCTTCCCAAGAAATTTCCATTTGCTTAAAATTGAAGTTTCTTCTAAAGAAAAGGATTTAATCAAAAATATGACAACTTTGAAATATCCCATATTGGCAAGAGTGAATTCTTTTTAATGGAGGGAGTAATTATTTCTGTCCCATCCTTCATGGAGGAAAGAGGGTCAGTTTAAATTCTTCTTTTTTTTAGAGAAAGAAAGTCAGTCAAGAGGATTTTGCGTGTAGCTGACCTGGTGGCAAAAGACACGTGCTTTTCTTGTCCGTCTAGTGGTTCTGGCGTTCTGTAAAATCCATGTTTGCATGTTTACATGATGAACTTGAGCATGATTTCTGCTGAATGCAACACTTCAGAATATGCCCAGAGCACTTCCGTTGTCATTCTTGTTTCGCTGGACAATCATATGTCTATGGCCTAACCTGCAACGACGATGTGTTATGAGGTCAAAGCGGTGTAGTGAAAACAAATAAATTGTTGTTCTCTACACACTTATAGCATTCGACAATGTCTCAAGAACGAAGACCTGAGAGCACCTTGTAAACAGGAAAGTGCTGCTATTTGAGCTTCCTAATAAACTAATTTTCCAACTGTTTAAATAACTGTGTGGCCTAAAGAATATTTTCATTTTCAAACTTGCTACTAACACTTTGATCAACGCTTCTAATAATTTATATGAGGTGATAACCCAATTAGTTTTTTTATTGCAATTTCACTTTTCATGTTCAGGTATGGATGATGAAGGTGAAGACACATCTCCTATCCATGAGATGTTGGATGACAAATTGAGAGTTTCTTACTTCAAGGCGTACCTTGCAGCTATTCATCAGGCAATCTTGTGCGTGCTCCCAAACCCGTGTTTCACAGGCCTCGTGTTATAAACATGTATTGGCATCAACATGCATAACAAATATCGGCTGATTCCTGCGATCTTAGTAGCTCATCATTTGTTCGGCATATTGTCTTGGCTGCATTCATTCTTTGTCAATCATCCAGATTAGAGGAATTACTTGCCTCTTGAAATATTCTGGTTCATTCCCCATTCTGTTTTAGGATTTTTGACGTTGATAGGGAAACTTCAGGCAGCTGCAAAGAAAATATGAGTTCTACTCTTGTCTCTTCTTAACCACTTTCTACTGAAACAGTTGGCATCAACGGTTATTCTAGGTCTTTTTTAAAAAAACTGATGGAAATTAGTTCAGCATAATGAATGAATATTACAGCATACGAGGAGGAACCAGCTTTTGATGCATATGATATTTTCGCATTCACATCTAAATTCTTGATCATTTTTGAATGGCTTATTGCTACATGATTCTTGATTCTACTATAATGGGATCAAATGTTATTTTCCTTTAATCAATTTGACTTAATGGCTATGCTGACTTCCATTTGTCTGTGGATGATGGATTCTCAACAGGGACGGTGCTGATGTGAGAGGTTATTTCGCTTGGTCATTGCTGGATAACTTTGAGTGGAGTCTGGGTTATACAAAACGCTTTGGTTTGATATACGTGGACTTCAAGAATGGGCTAACTCGGCATATGAAATCTTCTGCTTACTGGTTCATGAGGTTCCTGAAAGGTGGACAAGTAAAACATGGGAAAGAAGATTAGCTACTTCTGGTGTTATGGAGTTAGCTTAGCTTCTATATTTTTTCAATTCTGGTTTTCCCAATGACTATCACTGTACACTGCTTGTAAGGCTCTTACATGGAAAGCTTTATCTTTCTGGTATGGTAGGTTTAATTATAACTCTCCTTCTTTGGCTCAAGGTGACTGGTATAGGAGCCTGTAAACACATGCCAACTGGATTTAACTTATATGCACCAGACAGTGTAAATAGTAGGTTACTTATCTGATTTTTCAGGTTACCAATAGCCTGTTTGGCCAAGCTGCAAAAATCAACTTATTTTGAGAAGTGTTTTTTCTCGAAAGTGCTATTCTCAAAAGTACTTTTGGTGAGAAGCAGTTTGTGTTTGGCTAATTAATTTGAAAAGCACTTCTGAGCAACAATTAGTGTTTGGCCAAGCTTTAAAAAACTGCTTCTAATAGCCCATTTGGCCAAGCTTCTAAAATCAGCTTAGTTTGAGAAGTGTTTTTCTCAAAAGTACTTTTTAAAAAAGTGCTTTTGGTGAGAGGTAGTTTGTGTTTGGCTAGTTAATTTGAAAAGCACTTTTGAGCAGTAATTAGTGTTTTGGCCAAACTTTTGAAAACTGTTTCTAAGTGTATTTTTTTCAAAAGTGCTTCTCAGAAAAGTGCTTTTGGAGAGAAGCTACTTTTTTCTGCTTCTCCAGAACTACTTCTGCTTCTTCTCAAAAACACTTTTTTTTTCTTCCAAAAGCTTGGCCAAACACCTCAATTTTTGGCCAAAAGTGCTTTTGGCCCAAAAAAAGCTTGGCCAAACAGGCTATAAGTGTATTTTTCTCAAAAGTGCTTTTCAAAAAAGTGCTTTTGGACAGAAGTTACTTTTTTCTGCTTCTCCAAAACTGCTTTTGCTTCTCCTCAAAAGCACTTTTTTTCCTTTCAAAAGCTTGGCCAAACACCTTAATTTTAGAAAAAAAGCACTTTTGAACCAAAAAAGTGTTTTTGCCTCAAAAGAAGCTTGGCCAAACAGGCTATAAGCTTATTAGAGATAGTTCATGTTTGCCCCCACTTGTGGGATTATACTGGGTTGTCGTTGAAGAGATAGCTCATGCATGTTGTAACTTTAAGCTACTACAATAACAACTACACCTCCGCCCCAAATAATTTTTTTTCTTTTGTTTTTGAGATGCCTTTAAAATGAAGGCTAAACAAAGTCAATAAAGTAATTATTACAAGGAGTTTATTTTAAGTTATTTTCTGCCAAAAGACTATAATTTATAATCACTTCAACAATTACAAGTAAATGCATATATATGGCCACTGGATTCTTGCTTGCTATATATATTATAGTGGGGTAACCGATGATTGCAGTAAAGGGCAGCTAAGCTCTCGCAATCTACGGGGTCCGGGGAAGGACCGAACCATAAGGGTCTATTGTACGCAGCCTTATCCTACATTTTTGCAAGAGACTGTCTCCACAGCTTGAACCCATAACCTCTTGGTCACATGACAACAACTTACCAGTTACGCCAATCACCGATGATTGCAGTGGTAGTTAAAATTAAACCTCTTTATTTGCCTTGGAGAACTGAGATTTGACCTGCATTTAGTTGTGTTTTTAAATCTTATCAACTGCTCGGTCTTCTTTTTCATTTGCGATTTTGTATCTTGAAGTGAAACCTCATGCATTCCTCTAAGTTGTGACAAAAGAAAAAGGGAACCTCATTTCATCAAAACTCAACTGTCCTTAGAACAATTTATCTAGTGAATGGAACAAGTCTGGAAAAATCAGAAATAATAAGATGCTACTACTATCTTTATTTTTATATATTTTATATTCTGATATTCCATTAAATATCCTTTAATTATATAATTACTAAGGGCATTCTTGTCAAATTATAAAAGATGCTAATTATATAGTACATCGCAGAATCCTACCACATGATATAAAGACTTCAACTATGCATACATAACCCAGCTAAAGGTATCCCCTGTTTCTTTCTGTTGCTGCTGCTATGTGTCTTCTATGTAATATTTAATAGGTCAGAAGCGGAGCTAGAATTTTTAATTAGGGTGTCACAATTTAAAATTTTTTTAAGGGGATTCAATACATAGTATATGTTAAGTAGTTAGTCATGTATAGTGTCTCACATCGGGAAGTAGATACCTATTATTATGTAATCAATGCATATAAATAGGGCCTTGTACTACACTTTAGATAATCCCGTGCTTTCTCACATGGTATCAGAGCCAGACCCATCCCAATTATTGTTACCGATGTTGGGCCCCCATTTATGTTGTCCACGCTCCAGTTTGCAGGCCGGGGCGTGAGGGGGTTGTTGAGTTATCCCACATCAGTGGGATTTGAGGTCCTTGGTCTCCTTATATGGTCTTGGACAATCCTCACCTCATAAGCTAGCTTTTGGGTTGAGTTAGGCCGATGTCCATTTATCATTTAATCTCATAGCCGTTAGTCTTTGCCAAATCACTTAAATACGCTGTTTTATTTCTTGATGACATTGTTTTTATACAGGAAAGCAGTACGGGGCGGATCATTGGTACCGAGCGTGAATCAAATGGACTTTATTACCTTATCCTTGCTAAATCACACGGACTCATATCTTGTCTTCCTTCAACAACATGTCTTGTTACTGATTCACCAGATTTATTACATAAACATTGGGACATCCCAATTTGTCAAAATTTCAGAAAATGGTACCTGGTTTATCTCACTTGTTCACTCTAGAGTGTGAGTCATGTTAGCTTGGTAAGCATACCCGCTCCTATTTCCCTCGGCATCTTGATAATCGAGCAGAGTCACCCTTTACCTTAGTCCAATCAGACGTTTGGGGTCCTAGTCGGGTCAGTTCTACCTTGAGATTCCACTACTTTGTCTGTTTTATTGATGATTATTCCAGGTGCACTTGGATATTTTTGATAAAAAATCGATCTGAGTTGTTTTCTATTTTCCACCTTCCACGGTGAAATTCAAATTCAATTTGGGGTTTCTATCCGCATATTTCGTAGTGATAATGCCCTAGAGTATTTGTCTTCCCCTTCAGAAATTTATGAACTCTCATGGGATTATTCATCAAAACAACTTCTCCGTACACACCTCAACAAAATGGGGTAGCTGAAAGAAAGAATAAACACCTTATTGAAACTGCTCGTACCTTACTCATACAATCTCATGTTCCGTTGCATTTTTGGGGGATGCAGTTCTTACATCTTGCTATCTTATTAATCGTATGCCATCTTCAGCTATCCAAAATCAAGTTCCATTCTCTGTCCTATTTCCCCACTTACCTTTGTTCTCTCTTCCACCCTGTGTCTTTGGAAGCACGTGTTTTGTTCATAACCTTACTCCAGGAAAAGATAAGTTAGCTCCTCGTGCTCTTAAGTGCGTGTTTCTAGGTTACTCGAGAACGCAAAAGGGGTATCGATGCTATTCTCCTGACCTCCAGCGGTACTTTATGTCCGCAGATGTTACCTTCTTTGAAACCCAATCATACTTCACAGGTCCAGGTAATCACTTAGATATTTCTGAGGTGCTACCAGTTTTATCTTTTGGAGATTCAGTCACTATCTCCCATTCATCTTCCTCTACAGTTGTAGCTCCACCACCTATAGCTCCAGTTCTACCATCTAGTCCAGTTCAATCTTCTGCAGCTCCACCACTCTTGACTTATCATCGTCGTCCACGTCCAGCATCAGGCCCAGGTGATTCACGTACTGCATCAGATTCTGCACCTACGGCGGACTTGTCTCCCCTTAGTCAACCAATTGCACTCCGTAAAGGTGTACGATCCACTCTTTATCCTAATCCTCATTATGTCGGTTTAAGTTATCATCGTGTGTCATCACCTCATTATGCTTTTATATCATCTTTGTCCACTGTTTCTATCCCTAAGTCTATAAGTGATGCACTATCTCATCCAGGAGGGCGACATGCTATGATTGACGAGATGTCTGCTTTACATGCGAGTTACACTTGGGAGCTTGTTCCTCTTCCTTCACATAAGTCTACTGTTGGTTGTCGTTGGGCTTATGCAGTCAAAGTCGGCCCGGATGACCAGGTTGATCGGCTTAAGGCTCATCTTCTTACAAAAGGTTACACTCAGATTTTTGGGCTTGATTATAGTGACACTTTCTCTCCCATGGCTAAAGTAGCATCTCTTCGTCTCTTTTTGTTCATGGCTGTTGTACATCTTTGGCCTCTTTATTAGTTAGACATTAAGAATGTTTTTCTCCACGATGATCTTAAGGAAGAAGTTTAGATGGAGCAACCACCTAATTTTGTTGCTCAGGGGGAGTCTAGTGGTCTTGTATGCTGATTTTGCAGGTCACTATATGGTTTGAAAAAGTCCCTTCAAGCTTGGTTTGGTAAGTTCAGCACAGTTATTCAGGAGTTCGGCATGACTCGTAGTGAAGTTGATCACTCTGTGTTTTATCGGCATTCTGCTCCTAATCTGTGTATTTATCTGGTGGTTTATGTTGATAATATTGTTATTACTGGCAATGATCCTGATGTTATTACTAATCTGAAGCAGCATCTCTTTCAGCACTTCCAGACCAAGGATCTAGATAGATTGAAGTATTTTTTAGGTATTGAGGTCGCTCAGTCTAGCTCAGGTATTGTTATTTCACAGCAGAAGTATGCCTTAGATATTCTTGAGGAGACTGGAATGATGGGCTGCAGACCTGTTGACACTCCTATGGATCCGAATGCTAAGCTTCTTCCAGGACATGGGGATCTTCTTAGAGATCCTACGAGAAATAGGAGGTTGGTTGGCAAATTGAATTACCTCACAATGACTAGACCTGACATTTCTTTTTCGGTAAGTGTTGTAAGTCAGTCTATGGATTCTACCTGTGATAGTCACTGGGATGCAGTTGTTCGCATTCTTCAGTATATAAAGTCAGCTCCAAGCAAAGGATTACTATTCGAGGATCAAGGCCACGAGGAGATTGTTGGGTACACAGATGCTGATTGGGCATGATTACCTTCTGATAGACGTTCTACGTCTGGATAGTGTGTTCTAGTAGGAGGTAATTTTGTCTCTTGGAAGAGCAAGAAACAGAATGTAGTTGCTCGATCTAGCGCCAAAGCCGAATATCGGGCCATGGCTACGGCAACGTGTGAGCTAGTTTGGGTCAAGCATTGCTCAAGGAGTTGAATTCGGAAAAATCAGCAAGATGGAACCGGTGTGTGATAATCAAGCTGCTCTTCATATTGCGTCAAATCCGATGTTTCATGAGAGGACTTAACACATTAAAATCGACTGTCACTTTGTCAGAGGTAAGATACTCTCAAGATATATTGTTACAAAGTTTGTGAAGTCGAATGATCGGCTAGCAGATATTTTCACTAAGTCTCTTACTGGTTCTTGTATTGGTTACATCTGTAACAAGCTTGGCACATATGATTTATATGCACCGGCTTGAGGGGGAGAGTTAAGTGTTAGTAATGTATAGTGTCCCACAACGGGAAGTAGATATCTATTATTATGTAATCACTCTATATAAATAGGGCGTTGTACAACACTTTAGATAATCAATAATATTTTCTCCCGTGCTTTCTCATAGTATACATACATTAAAGAAAATATTACCTATCAAAATAATTTCAACAACTTGTATGTGACTTTGCCACTGCCAGCAGCTTGTACGCAACTCGACTATTCCAATAGGGATACTGTGATGACCCAAAAGGTCATCACTTGTTTTAGAAATAAATTAAGTGTTCCGAGGCCTTAAAACCTCCTTTTTGCCTCACCTCGATTTGCGTGCGCAGCCCGGACGTGTATCCGAAAAGCCATTATGTGAAAATCCGTGAAAAATAATAAATTTTGCTTTTAAAATGAATTTAGGTTGACTTTGGTCAACATTTTAGGTAAACGGATTCGGACCCGTGATTTGACGATCCTGGAGGGTCCGTAGGAAAATATGGGACTTGGGCGTATGCCCGGAATCGAATTCCGAGGTCCCAAGCCCGAGAAATGAATTTTTAAAGAAAATTATTTTCTGGAGGATATATGAGTTTTTGGAAGTGAAATGTGTTTGAAATTTGATGGTATCGAGCCCGTATTTTGGTTTCGGAGCCCGGTACAGGTCTTATATGTAATTTAAGTTGAGCCTGTAAAGTTTGGTAAAAAACGGAGGTCATATGACGTGAATCAGAATCTTAGTTGTAAAATTTGAAACTTTGAAAGTTCTTGAGATTTTCTTTGATTTTGATGCTAAATTCATAGTTGTTGATGTTATTTTGGTGACTTGATTGCACGAGCAAGTCCGTATGATGTTTTTAGGTTAGTGTGCATGTTTGGTTTGGAGCCCCGAGGGCTCGGGTGAGTTTTGGATAGGCCACGGAGTGAAATTTGGACTTAGGAATTACTGGTATGTTGCAGGTCTGCAGGCTTCGCATTTGCGAAGCATGGCTCGCAAATGCGAACAACCCATCGCAAATGCGAGAGAAGGCATGGGCAGGGCTGATCGCAAATGCGATCATGTCTTCGCAAATGCGAAGAGGCCCAGAAATCCCCTTTGTCGCAAATGCGACTCCCCCATCGCAAATGCGAGTTTGCAATTGCGAACAGTGGTCGCAAAATGCGAGAGTAGCAGGTCCTGAAGGGTTCGCAATTGCGAACCCTAGTCGCAATAGCGACATCTGCGACCTGCAAATTCATAACTTAGCGAAAAATCTTTCATTTTTCAAACCCTTTTCAAAATCAAAACACTCTTGGGCGATTTTTCAAAGACAAGTAATCTTCCAAATCGATTGTAAGTCATTTCTAACTTGTTTTTATTAATCTTTAACATCTTTTCTCATGATTTCAACTCAAAATCAAAGGTTTTCATGGGGGAAATTGGGTGTTTTGGGTAGAACTTAGGTTTTTCAAATTTTGGGGATTTGGACCTCGATTTGAGGTCCGATTTCAAAACAAATTATATATTTGAGTTCGTGGGTGAATGGGTGATCGGATTTTGGTTCGAACCTCGGGTTTTGACCATGTGGGCCTGGGGTCAATTTTTGACTTTTTGGAAAAAACTTTAGAAAACCTATTTTCATGCATTAGAAATGATTCATTTAGCATTTATTGATATAGTTAAGTAACTTGTGACTAGATACAAGCGAATTGGTGGGAATCAAGAGGTAAAGCGATAGTTGAGGCTTGAATTGTATTCGTGGCATCGAGGTAAGTGTTTGGTCTAACCTTAGCTTGAGGGATTAGGAGTCATGTCTTATTTGCTATGTGTTAATCGTTGAGTACGACGTATAGGCATGGTGACGAGTATCTATACGTTGGTGTCAAGCATGCAGCGAGTCTTATACTATGACTAATGTGACTCCGTTTTGTATTGTTCATGACTTAGGTGATAGTCCTAATGTTGAACAAGATTTGTGAAAGTATCATTGGCATTTGAACATTTTAGAGCGTTGGCTCAAGTCGTGAATCAAAATGTGAAAGTATCATTGGTAATTGAGCATGGTGGAGCGTTGGCTCGAGTTGCAAATTGAGTTGTGAAGTAAATCTGAAAAAGAGAAGAGGATTATGATATTGTCTCCCTTGCCGGGATGTTATTGCTTTTAATATTGTTCCCTTGCCGGGATGTTGTTTCTATTAATATTGTTCCCTTGATGGGATGTTGTTGCTTTTAATATTGTTTCCTTGCCGGGATGTTGTTGCCTTGGATATTGTTTCCTTGCCAGGATTTTTATTGTGATTTCATTTATTTTCCTTGCCCTTATTGTTTGTGATTGTTGTTTGGGTGAGGAAGAGTGTTAAAGCACGAAGGGTGATGCCGTGCATTGTTTTGGTGAGAGAGTGTTTAAGCACGAAGGGTGATGCCGTGCATGATTTTCGTAAGGAAGAGTGTAAAGCACGAAGGGTGATGTTGTGCCGCATGATGTACAATTATGTGCCTTTATATGAGTGATTATGTGAGGTAAAAGCACGAAGGGTGATGTCGTACCAATTATATTAATTTTTATGGCGAGGACGAGAGTAAAAGCACGAAGGGTGATGCCGTGCACTTGTCTTTGATTTTCTGATTTTTTATTGATAACTGAGTTATGGTGTTCTTTACGTTTACTTACTGATTTCCTGTTGTTACTTGATCTTATTGTGATGTTATTGATTCCCTTGCCCAAATTGCTCTTGATTGTTGCTTGGGTGAGGAAGAGTGTAAAGCACGAAGGGTGATGTCGTGCATGATATTTGTGAGAGAATGTTAAAGCACGAAGGGTGATGCCGTGCATTATTTTGGTGAGAGAGTGTTAAAGCACGAAGGGTGATGCCGTGCACTTGTCTTTGATTTCCTGATTTTTTATTGATAACTGAGTTATGGTTTCTCTACATTTAACTGTTGGTTTTCTGCTGATACTTGTTGTTCCCCGCAGCATGATTTCCCCTTCTTATCTTTAATTGTGAAGCTCCGCCTTTATTTTCCGCTGTATATGATTTAACTGCACATCTTTATTTGGTAGTCTGGTTCTAGCCTCGTCAATACTTCTCCGAGGTTAGGCTAGGCACTTACCAGCACATGGGGTCGGTTGTGCTGATACTACACTCTGCACTCTTTTGTGCAGATCCCGGTGCTATAGCTTTCGGACCGCAGTGAGATTGCTGCTTCTTGTTCATCAGGCGACCCGAGGTAGTCCTGCAGGCGTCCGCAGGCCTTGGCGTCTCCTTCTATCTTTTATCCTGTTTCTTTCATGTATTCCCAGAGACAGTGTTGCATTACTTTTCTTCAGACCTTTAATTATAGTATTCCTAGACCGTCTGTGAAATTGTGACACCAATCTTGGGTAGTTTATGTATGGATTGGTATTGGCATCCTTATTGATATATTATGTTCAGTCTTCCGCTTATTAAATCTCGCTGTGTTATTTGATGTTGGCTATTAATTGTTAAGGGATTAAATGGGAAAAAGGTAAAAATTTCAAATGGTTGGCTTGCCTAGCTTTCATTAGTAGGCGCCATCACGATTCCCGAGGGTGGAAAATCCGGATCGTGACAGATACGTGTTATTAACTCTGTCCACTAAGGCCTCTATCATGCTTGTAATTTACTGGCTAACCATAATTTTTTTTAAAAATTAAGAACCCGTTTGGATTAGCTGATTTGAAGTAGCTGATAAACATTAAGTGCTGAAAAGCACTTTTAAGTATTGAAACTGATTTAATAAATAAGCAGTTACGTATTTGGATACAAGTGCTGAAATTGATAATAAACTGCTGCAGTATTTGATAAAAAGTGCCGATAAGCTCTTTTTTTATGTTAAAATGACTTGAGTAACGTTAAAACTGTTTACACTTATAAGGATGTAATTTCTTCAAAATTTTAGATTCCAGATCGATTCGAATACAAATATTCTATTTGTCATTTTATTTTAAATAGAAATGTGATTAGAGAAGATAATTTTATGATAAATATTATTTATTTTATGTAAGCATATATTTATAAGTTATACTAATAATAAATAAATGAATAAAAGTTTCTCAATAAAAAAATAAATCTAAATATGATAAAATATTTGAAGAGAAACATTGTCTTCATCATCCCAACACTTCGAAACCAATACACCAAAAATTTGATATGTCCTCGTTTATTACATACAACTCAAAGATTAATACACAATCATATACATACAAATATGCAAAGGAATAGAGAATTTGCTTACCTCAAATAGCCAATGAGAATTGCAGACTTGAAGAGGCCGGGGTTTTAGGTTACAAAAATACATGAGGCAGTGAGTATCGATGTAGGGATAAAATATTTTAGGGATAAAAAGGTAAAAATCTTGGTCAAACTTAAAGTATTTATAAGCTAGAAATTCATAAGCTGGGGGTGACCAGCTTATAGCTTTTGGCTTATTTTTGGCTTATAAGCACTTTTAACTATACCAAATGCGTAGACTAGTTTTACCAGCTTATAAGCTTAGCCAAACACCCTATGGGGTCGTTTGGTAGGGCGTATAAGAATAGTGCGGAATAAGG